GGCTTCGGTCAGTCAGCCAGTCAACAGCTATCTCTGATGAATTTGCACGAGAACAGTAGGCGCAAATGGCACTCGCTAGAGAAATTTGAGATCTCAAAAAGTGTACACAGAAGCTTCCTATAACTTTCCGAAAACAAAAACTGCAAAAAAAAAGAAAAAAAGGAGTTCTTAGGACGTATTTCGGGATCTCCAGAAATGTATATAGGGGTACATATCAATAATGAGCCTGGATTGCCCTCATCCTACACTCTCAGAATAAAGGTACAAGAGCTGTCACTGGGGCAGTACTTTTTCTAAAGATACATATTTGTCCCTGAAATGTCCATGATGGTACCTCCAAGATACTTTTTAGGTACATTTGGGCACTTAAATGCTTCTTTCAAGTACCACTGTGGACTTTTTGGGTACAAATATGTATCTTTCAAGAGTTCACACTTATCTGATGATCAATAAAACATAATTGACATTCTGTACCAGGTGAGAGCCTTGAGCTCGTAATATGCTTGAGCCCGGAGCTCCATCCCGTTAGAAGGGCAAGAGGGGAGTTCAAGCTCAGGTAGGTCTTGAGAACTCCCTTGCTTGTCGGCGTGTGAGAAGTGTAAACTAAGGTTGTCCTAGGTGATAATTTTGTTTAGTCGATTGGCTATGGTGTATGTTTTTGGACGATGGGAGGAAACAGAGGAACCTGAGGGAAACCCACGCTGACACGTGAGAATTCAATTCAATTCAGCTTTATTTGTATAGCGCTTTTACAATGTAGATTGTGTCAAAGCAGCTTCACATAAATGGTCATAGTAACTGGCTCAGTTTTTAGTGTTTAAGAACATGCAAACTCTGCACAGAAATGCCAATCGACCCAGTAGGAGGTTGGACCAGCGGTGTTCTTGCTGTGAGGTAACAGTTCTAGCCACTGGGCCGCTGTGTCGTCCTATCGGAAAAAGGGTGGGAAGTAGGCAGGGCCGGATTAACCAATGGGCCTTATGGGCATAGGCCCAGGGGCCCGTGCGCACTAGGGGCCCCTGCGAGGGGGGAGAAAAAAGACAATTTTGGAGTGTCTTTTTAGGCTAATTGCAAATAGTGCATCTAGTTGGAATAAGCTATTCAGGGTTTACGCCCATCAATGCCTGATTGATAGAGACAACATGAGTATAGAGCTGTGTAGCAGTACAGCCGCAGTGGCGCATCTTGTAAGGAGCATAGTCTCATCTTTTGATGCAATAAATCATCAACTCAGTTCGAATCCATTATCAGCTGAACTTGTGCTACTTTTTTTTCTCCCCATTACATATCAGATTGGAAATATATTTATTTTTAACAGGAGGGAAACATTTTTTAAAAATAATGCAAATGTGATATAAAGTCACAAGTGGCTCGTGGGTATTTAATAATGTTTAGCCTTATTATAGGAGCCTCCCTCTCTGTAAAAACTATATTGCTCAGAGCAAAATTTCCTCTGAGCAAAAAAATCGCGATCATATAATAATATTATTATTATATTTAAATTGCCTTTCTTTCTTTAACTAAACAGAATGCTGTAAATAATCAAGCGTGGAAATATCTGTCATAGATCAAAAATGATATGACAAGTGGATTTAGCAAACGCGAGAGAAAGAGGAGAGGAGGCATCTTTATTGAGGCATTTTCCATACACACCATCTTTAAACAGACCCATGACCAGGAGAATGAGGGTACAGAAGACGTTATGTTAACTTTAAATGATGAGTAGCTAGCAATAACCAGGCGGAGGAGGCTAACGGCAGCGCGGACTGGATTCATTGTGTGAGAGACAGACAGAAAAGGAGAGAGAGAGGGAGAGAGAGAGAAAGGCCCAGAAGAGGAGAGAGACGGGAGAGAAGAGGTATAGTGTGTGTAATTTCGCATACTTTTAGGTTTATAATCAAGTCTTCATCACGAGAAGAGTAGAGAAAATAGAGGGAGAGGAGGAGAGAGACAGTAAATCAGTGTTTGTATTATGAAAGACTCAGATTCATAGAACTCAGATTCATAGAATTCGATTGGAGAAGCATTGTGCGTTATATGCCATGGCAATAATATGCTTTATAAGTTTGTAAAAGCAATACATTAAAATACCCTTAAAAAAAAAAAAAAATATATATATATATATATATATATATATATATATATATATATATATATATATATATATATATATATATAAACCATATATCCCATGTCACAAAAACTGCCTTCTTTCATCTGAGAAATATCGCTAAATTACGAAATATGCTATCCATCTCAGATGCAGAAAAGCTAGTCCATGCTTTTATGACTTCGAGACTGGATTACTGTAATGCTCGTTTTGCTGGCTGCCCAGCATCCTCTATTAACAAACTTCAATTAGTACAAAATGCAGCAGCCAGAGTTCTGACCATGTCTAGAAAATATGATCATATAACCCCAATTTTATCCCCCTTACACTGGCTGCCTGTTAAATTTCGTATTGAATTTAAAATATTACTTCTCACCTATAAAGCTCTAAATAATCTAGCTCCTGTTTATCTAACCAACCTTCTGTCTCGCTACGAACCAACTCGCTCCTTAAGATCTCAAAATTCAGGGCTTCTGGTAGTACCTAGAATAGCAAAATCAAGTAAAGGAGGTCGAGCCTTCTCTTTCATGGCTCCTACACTCTGGAATAGCCTTCCTGGTAATGTCCGAGGCTCAGACACACTCTCCCAGTTCAAAACTAGATTAAAGACCTATCTGTTTAGTAAAGCATACACTCAATGCATCACCTAGCGGGTTCCACACAGGCTTCTGCATCTTGCTTATATACACTATGAACAGCAGCTACGCTAATTATTCTCTTTATTCTCTATTTTCACCTGGGGATACTCATCCCGAGGTCCTCAGATTAGGCGGAGTCACTGATTGGATCCAAGACCAGCGACGTGATGATCCCAAGGATTCCATATCCGGGACCAGGCCATATCCTGAGCTGCTGCTGCGCTGATGGTCGTGGGGAGTGGAGAACATGTGTCTGATTCCAGCGACGCTCCAGGGACAGACGAGTCTTCATTGAGGCCATCTTCCAGCATAAACCACGGCGAATTAAGTTCTGCACAAGACTTTTGGCCAGCGGAGAAATTAAAATGGTCGTGTCCAACTGAGTCTGGTTCTCTCAAGGTTTTTTTTCTTCACTCCCATCAGGTGAAGTTTTTTTTTCCCTCTCCGCTGTCGCCACTGCCTCGCATGGTTCAGGATTGGTAGAGCTACGCATCGATGAATTTGCTCTTCAGTGTTTGAACTCTCAGTAATGATTAAATCACACTGAACTGAGCTAAACTGAACTGAACTGAACTTAAACACTAAAACCTGAACCACACTGTTCCAGTTACTGAACCACACTGTTCCAGTTACTATGACCATTTATGTGAAGCTGTTTTGACACAATCTACATTGTAAAAGCGCTATACAAATAAAGCTGAATTGAATTGAATTGAATATATATATATATATATATATATATATATATATATATATATATATATATATATATATATATATATATATATATAGTTTTATAGATTTATTAGTATTTTTATTCAATGCTTTAAAAAATAAGTTAAATCTTTGTAGACTATAAATACATATGTACTATATATCATTTATTTAAATATGTGGGCAACAAATTATAGATTCATTTTATTTAAAAATTATTATATTATTCTTGTTTTTTTAATTCAACTATAGGGGTGTAGCCAGGAAGGGGGCCTTACAAGACAATGTGCCCAGGGGCCCCTGAGTTCTTAATCCAGGCCTGAAAGTAGGGATGGTAGGAGGGTAAACTTCAAGATGAAGATAACTGGAGTGAAAAAATCTGGTTATTTATAATGAAATAGAGGTGATTACGAAGTTAATAAGGTGTTAGCCACGTTGATAATAAGCATGTGATCCTCTTGAAATTAGTTTATAAATAAACCACACTTTAAAAAAGATACTGCACCTGTGACAGCTCCTGTACCTTTAATTCTGAGAGTGTAAAGTATGCTAAATATGTTCCAAATATATATTTGACAAAAGTGCTATTAAAAAAGATAACTTGTTTTGACTGCACACTTTTTTCTCATTTCATCAACATCTTTTTAAAATTATTTTCAAAGATATTCTGAAAAAAAATCTCTGTTAAATGGGTAGAGACAAGTAAGGCCTTTCACATATGGTATTCAGGCTGCACAGGCAGTACATGTCTTAAAAGCTCAAAGACGTACTTTAGATTACGTTTGACTGCAGTTTCTAGATAAATTGAACACTTCCAGGCAGTGTGACGCCAACAACTTTTTCACCTTTTCACACTACTGATACTTACAAGGATATACTATTAAGGAATGAGGGATCATTTTTGCAATTCTTTGCAAAACACCAAATAAATACCACAAAACAACTTGAATGTGTCAATCATTTGTAGATATATATTTACATACTCATCTGCTTATCTCCATATAGAAGACTTTGCCATGATCAGTTTTTGTGGTAGCTTTCATTGTTTTCAGTTTGAGTCATGTCCGGTGAATGACAATTCTAGAAAACGTTAAAGCAATGTAAAATTGTGTTAAAACTATTCAGCAATTCTACACTTTGCAAAAAAAAAAAAAAAAAAAAAAAGTGTTTATGTTTTTATTAGTCCAATCCACAAACATGGATGTAAAATGGTTTCCAATATTTATTTTGTCCACTTTTGACTACTTCCAGACCAACTTTCCAAAAACACATTTAATCAGATTGCTTTGGCCAAAAAAAAATAAAGCTACCCATGAAAAAAAAGTACAAAACTGTTTGTTTGAGAAAGCAGAGGTCCATCTTCAGATGTTTTCATAAATCACTAGATAGACCAACAATGAACTGAATAAAAACTGTATACTATTCGCCCACCGAATATATGTTGTGTTTCTGTGGAGACTCTTCCATTCTGCTTGGAATACTGCAGTCCTGATTCGTTACAGAGCTACTTTACAGAATTCCACGTTTCCCTGGTTTCTTGCCTGGGCATGTCATTCCCTGTCAGCTCGGCAACGCTCTCTTTATTCGTCACACTTTTGAGCAGAGATCTGAAAGAGTTTTCCTTTCTCGGCACGATTGTCTCTGACAGAGGTGGGCAGAATGTAGTCTCAGAAAGGTGGAGGTGTCTCTCAATTTCAATGAGGTGCAGTATCTGAACTATTCTTACCTTTAAGAGCCAGAATAATTTATATACATTCTCAGACATGTTTTTGCCATAATTTACAGATAGTATCAACTAAAATGTAATCCAATTGTTTATATACCAAAATATGTATTATACATTTATTTAGCCCACTCTCTCATCTCTTTATACTTACTTTTTCTTTAATCCATGAGAAAGAACCAAATCTGACACCATGTTTTGTTTGTAATGTTTACTAACAGACCGAACACATTCAATCCTTTTCAGTCCAGCCGTCTTTATTGTTTTGCTTCCTTGAACACAGCCCCTTAAAGCCCTATGAATAACAGCACAGCCGCTGTGTACATTTTTTTAGATCTCAAATTTCTCTCGCGAGTGCCATTCGCGTCTGCTGTTCTCTTGTAAATCCAATGTCAACTGACTGGCTGACCAATCAACTGACTTAGTCTCCTCCTTCCCTAAATCCAACCAAGAGTGTTTCAAAGGCACAAAGATTTTGACATTATTTCCATCATTATTTCAAACTGTTTTCTGTAGTTATTCCAAGTATAGGATGTGTCTACACACAAATGCAAACACCTCTATGTGAACAACAAATAACATAAGAAGTCAGCAGTAGGGATATGATGCGTTAACATGCATTTGCTGTCAATTTGTCTCTGCATCATATCTGCACCAGCATAACATCTAACACAGCTTTATTGTTGCTGACATGGGGAATAATGAAAAGGCAGACAGCGTCTTTCTTATCCTTTCACACAGCACAGAAAACAACAAGAAGAAGATAGTACCATCAAGCAAACAACTGCTGCCTGATTCTGACATAAAACCTACAAAAGTTCAAAGGCAGATTCGACAGATGAAGAATGCATCCTGCTTCACATATATGTTGCTCTGTTACAGTCAATCAAAACATCTAGACATACTATCTACAAACTGCAGGAATCCTCCATGAGCATCCCTAATTGATTGATAGATAGATAGATAGATAGATAGATAGATAGATAGATAGATAGATAGATAGATAGATAGATAGATAGATAGATAGATAGATAGATAGATAGATAGGTAGGTAGGTAGGTAGGTAGGTAGGTAGGTAGGTAGGTAGGTAGGTAGGTAGGTAGGTAGGTAGGTAGGTAGGTAGGTAGGTAGGTTGGTTGGTTGGTTGGTTGGTTGGTTGGTTGGTTGGTTGGTTGGTTGGTTGGTTGGTTGGTTGGTTGGTTGGGTGGGTGGGTGGGTGTGTGGGTGGTTGGTTGGTTGGTTGGTTGGTTGATTGATTGTGTGTTCATACTAACACTGCTTAAAACTTTACATAGAAAAAGCTGGATACCATCCAATTATTAATGTAGTACTTTTTTATTTCTCTAAAGCAACAAGTAGAATATTTAAACAAGAGTTTTATATCAGATCAAGTGGAAGTTAACCTTTAACTGGAATTTTACCTACTTATTTGAAAGTTTGCTTGGAGTTGTGTGAATGTTAAAGGCACCGTTCATCCACAAGTGGAAATCAGGTCATTATTTACTCAACCAGATGCTGTTTTAATAGACTTATTTTATGTATAAATAGTAAATATTTACCTTAACTTTCATTAATTATTTAATTAATTTATTTATATATAATTTTTCATGCACAAAAAAGGATTAAAATTATAATGTATTGTGCGTCATTTTTTAATCAATTTTGGCTATTTTACCGGGCAAGTCGAAGTGAATTCTCTCAGAAAACCAAATGCGGTTATTACTTAAATATTTCATCACATTTTAGGTTTGCTTTCCACCTATTTTGGAAATAGGTGGAAAGCACTGCTACTGTGCTACTGCGTGGCGCGCCCCTCACCAGAGACGTGGTAAGATCTTTTTTGTTGAGTCGTTTTCGATAGATTTCTTCATAGTGGAGGTTTTCCACATAGCAATAAAGTTCGTAACGGAAATGCTATTTTCCTTCATCCCTGAATAATGAGATTTATGAATGTTAATTTAATAGTTTATTAATCATTTACTTACTTATTCTGAAGGATCTTAAAATCCTCCAACTACTTTTAACGCTCTACTGCACGCCTTATGATAGATCTATAAATAAATTTTGTTGTTTGAAATGATTTATTTGGTGTTGCAGTATTTTAAACTTTAACACAGAACTTATAAGTAACACCTCATACATTCAATTCAATTCAATTCAGCTTTATTTGTATAGCGCTTTTACAATGTAGATTGTGTCAAAGCAGCTTCACATAAATGGTCATAGTAACTGGAACAGTGTAGTTCATACATCCCATATTCCGACAGCTTTCATTTATTTTAAACTCTTTTTTTGCTGAATATTATTAAAAACAGATATAATATTGTATTTTCATGTATACAACATACAGTAAATATAAATATTTTCTCCAGTAAATATTATAACAAATAAGTAACAAGTCTAGTATATTAAGATGCATCAGAATAATCTAGATACTAGCTAACAAAGTTTATATATTATTCTATATACTATACTACGTCTTTCTTATCTGCCTCGGAGCGAACTTACTTTAACTTTCTCCATCACTGCTCTTATTAAATGTTAAATTTTATTCCTTGTTTTTATTGACGTTTACATTCGCATTCAACTACTCACAATAAACGCAGTCTGTTAGAAATTGCGCTACAGAAAAACACTGCATGTCATGTGACTTAACCAAAGCATATCATTGGCTAGACTAAGGTCTTCTCTTTCCAACAACAAAAATCAATGTTGGTCTTAAAGAAACAGTGGCAGGGAAATGAACATAAATATCATGTTACCATGTGGCAACACTGTGCGGTAGAGGGTTTAATACAAACGGTTTGTTAATAATGTACCACTTCATTTAGTAATTAAAAATAAATCATCAACAAATTATGAAAGTACAATTATTAAGCACATTATAAATGTGGTTATAAGTCAAGTATGCAGCATTTGTAGCTGCAGTTATAAACTGCTTACTAACATTTATTAATGTAGAGTTAATGCTTAACCTATAATAAATTCACTAGATGCTAATGCTTTATAAATGGTTCAGAGTGTGTAGTTATTATAAAGTGTTACCCAGTTTTTTGTGTAATGACATGAATATGACATGAGAGTTGAGTGGTTGAGTTCAGGGGTCAGGCAATACAATGAGCAGTTTTTACAGTACTAATTACGCCTATGGAGAGTCTCTCTAAACCACCAATACCAACATATCTCTGTGTGTGTGTGCATATGCATTCATATGTGGATGCATTTATGTGTGTGTGCGGGGCATTCAGATCTTAAGCAATTGTGATAGTTGATGAATTACTTTATGGGAATATTAAACCTTCTGGTAAAAACTTGGACATTCGTTCTTTCTCAAAGTTGCACCCATCTGCCAAAGTAAACCCTCCATGAGCCCAGGCCTTCAGCTCTGTTGTCTAAGGCCCTGCTGTTTTCTGAACATTCTGCGTAAAAAAAATCCAGTGCGGTTTAATTGCATATAATAGAGTTTTTCTAATTTGTCACAAGTCCTGGGAAATGGTACAGCATGTAATTATAATATTTCAACTGTTTATGTTGGATTTATTATTTGCAGCTTTTTCCTGTATAGCTTTTGGATTATCATCATCAATTTATCAAGACCCTCATATATGAATACATATTAGGAACATTCATTAAAGAGGTAGTTTAACCAAAAACTAAAAGTCATTCATCTTTTACTTACCCTTGACTTGTTCAGAGCCATATTCAGTAATTTTCTCTGTGTTGAACACAAAAGAAGATCATTATTTCATTATTTAAAATGTCATTACAATGGAAGTCAATGGTTAAATTCATTTACAAATGATTTAACTAAATTATCTAGCAAAATAATGGCAAAGTTAGAACATGTTTTATGTATGTGACAATGCACAAGTACATGTAACTACACAGGCTGCAATTCTATTAATCAAATATCGGTAACACTTTACAATAACAGTACATGGATAATGATGTAATAATATGTAAACTATGCATTACTTTATTATCAGTGTTGTGCAAGTTACTTCCAAACTGTAATACATTAAACACTACTTGTTACTGTTATTTAAAAGTAATCCCTTCCCTGCAATATTACTGTCTCAGAATTGTAAAACGTTACATTACTTTTATATTACTTTTCAGTTACTTTCACCAAAATAACTGCAGAATAAAAACTTAACATTCTAAAATGACCAAAAGTACTGCAGAGCATTTTAGAAAGCGACATGATGTAGCATAATGACTGTGACCTGTCCAATCTACTAACAATATAGTATATAATTGGCAACGCGAAGGCTCAAGACTATGCAAGAAAGCATAAGAGCCAGAATCACAAATGATCTAAGTCTGTTAAAAGTATGGTAGAGGTAAAGTGATTATCTGGCAATATCTGTGAATAGTTTGGGTATATTAGACACAACAGGCCTATGTATGTAAACTCTAATGCCATGACAAGATGCAGATTTCTTTTCTTATTGATGCCATTATTTTGTTTACTTTAAATTCAAATGGTTCACAACACAAAACTGTCATGCACAAAGTGAGCATGATGAACATAGCTTTCTCAGTATAAAGTGCAGTTAGAGAACCAACCCCTCAACCTGAGTCAATTTAGGCCATAGAAATGAACATAAAGGCTAAACATCGCCTAACTGCTTAGAAAAAAACAACAACAACAGATCAAACAGAGATTTATATGCCTCTAAAAATACTATATTAATCCACTGATTAAGAGAAACTTAATTTCTGCTGCTCATCTTTATATTTTAATAAATAAATAAATCATATCAACATTGTGTACTGTCTTTCTGCCATCTTCATCTATTTGCTGCTTTTCCGCTTAACGTTACTGCAAACTGGGGTGAGCCAATGGCCTCTGATCTCAAGCACAGAGGCTGAAATCATTCCGCCTTTAACGTAAAACGTTCTAATAGCCAGATGGAGATTAAAGACAACACATACATATATTCACGAACCATGAACAGGAAACAGAACCTATTTGC